TTTTTTTTTACAGTTGATTGTAAATACAATGCAAAGAAATTTAGTCTTTAAAAGTTGACATATGGAAAGCACAGTTCCTAAAGCTAGTGAGCCCTGGCATGCAAAACCTGTAATTTTATCTGTGATAAGGGATTTGCAGGTATTTTAAGGAGCATGTCCATTTTTGAAGTTAGAGAGGGTCTGTAGCCTACGTGCCTTAGAGCTGGTCCAGGAATTGTTCAAATTATTGTATTCATTTTGCTCTCTTAAGAGACTTACACTTTAGACAGAGAAGTATATTCTCTGTCTAAATGTGACATGTTACACAATTTTCTTGTGCCTTAGAATTCCAGGAGTTTGTAGAGAGTAAATCCATAAAACAGTAGCATGTAGCTAGGACCACATAGTGGTTTTTAATGCAGTTAAGAATACATTTCATTTCATTTATGGGTACAATTCCAGTCTGGTTTGTTGCAGTGAGAGTGAGATGTCAGTAGTAAGCCTGCAACACATGAAGACAAATACTAACTCTGATATTATTCTCCGGTGACAGAATTTATATCTTTTTTGCTTCTAAAGTGGCAAGTTACAGGTTATGCCTGATACCCGTGAATCTGTTTTATCTCTTTGAGAACATTACAAAATGGATGTAATTGCTTCTTGTAGCTTTCATAGTTTAGAATTGTATAAATAAAAACTTCCTTTGTCTGTTCTCATTTTTCTATCATTAGATAACTATGCAGGAAAGCAATGCTAATTTTGTAGAGCATTTCAGGAGACAGATATATTAGGACAGTTATGTGTCATTAAGGTAACTTGAGTGTGGCATTGAGAAAGACCATATGGAAGACGGTAAAACATTCATTACTCTAATAGAAATACATCTAGTGAAATGCTACACAAATTAAACATTACTTGCTTTAAGTGATGAATGGTTTCTACAGCAGTATATATTTGTAAAAAAAAATGCCATAAAGGTAATAAACAATTGTATGCCAACATCAATGTGAATTAAAATGCTTATTTTTAATTATTTTTGTCATCTCCTCCTTTCATTTAATTACAAAATACTTCATATAGCTTACATGCTTGATAAAATGTTTTGAAAATTAAAACAAATTAGGAAAAATACAACAGCACAGCTCTCGATAAAAAATATACCTTGTGTGCCAATTTTCCAAATCCGAGCACAGTCACTCAAACATAGTTTGAAAGTTAAAATAAAATTCTGTGATTCTTTGCTTTAAAATAAGGACCTTAATGTAAATAAGTTGGCTATCTGTGCTAGAATATTTTTAAAAGATGCATGCAATAATCATCTGGTAATAGATGGCAGATACCCAAGTATGGTTACAAGGAGCTCAACTCCTACTGAGCTTGTGGTTGAGGATGATTGGTAATTGAGCCATTATGCCAAAACGTTATCTGTGTTGAAACAGGTTCGTGTGTATGTGGCGTTACACTAGTAGACACTGTTGTGAGAACTCTGCGTCTGCATATATCCTCCATTATCTTAACTGTGGTGTGGTTCATAATTCTTCCTTGTTCTCTCAATCCAAATGCACCGATAGCCAGAATCAAAAGCCTCTTCAGTCTTCCTCAAAGGATGCCTTCAGGTGATGGGACCCTGAACTTTCCACATTTGGCTGGGAACCTCTCAGCTGAAAGCTGTATAACTTTTCCAATCCTCTGGGGAATATAACACAATTAGCCGAGCACCACATATTTTTTTTCTTCCAGTGTCTGAAAAAAAAGGCTAGTGGTGAAAGTACCGAATACTCTACGAAACAGCTGCATTTTTTTTTCATAGTATGTAACTATATTTAACACAGTGTTTAGTTGCAGGCTATCAGTGTGGAGAAATATGTACGTACCCTTTCGTCTATGTGCTAGTGCTTCGGATGGAAGGAGCTGTAACAAGTTAAGCAATTCATGTTGTAAAAACTATTTCCTAGAGCCTCCTTAAAAGCCAATGGATTAGAGTAAAGGTGTGTTTCCTTTAAGAAGGCTGCAAATCCTGGTTCGTGAGACAAGGCTACGGGGTTAAGCATCTTCACAATGAGTTTGAACAGAAACACCGAGCTTGGTGTGTTGCCCTCACATCTTCCCATGATAGATGTGAAGTCTTCTCCGTTCCTTCCATTTTCTCTGCCACGGCAAAGCACTGCTGACTCTTGTAGCAATGTGAAATGAAGCTGAGAGGAGAGGCCTAATAACACCAGAATAAATGAGATGGGAACAGTTGCAATTTCCAAGATTTAATTGTAGACAGGAGGAACTACAACCTGATTTGGGTTAAACGTGGCTGAAAGCTGCTATAATGCATATCGTTCCTCCTACCTTGTTCACGCCAAGCCTCTCATCGGTGCCAGCAGATATTGGTTCTAGCATGACAGCTTTGTTCCTAGACTGCAAAAGGATGTGGACATAAGGAAATAAGACCTTAAGGGCAAATGGGGTATAGGATGGCAGCGGAGTAAGTTTGTTACGAGAGACATGTACCTGGATTAACCGAGTGCCTGCTTTTAACTCCCCTACAAACCACAAACTAGCCTAGTCTCAAACTTCCAAAACATACAATGCAAGGCAAGCAAGTTTAGTGTATGTAAAACAACCCCCATCCCGCCTGCTGGTGGTTCTGAGTTTCTGGCACTATAACATTTGTCACATCTGGTACCAACTGTACAACGTCTGCTGGAAAAGGCCAGTTTCCGGCAGACTGGAGATTTTGGCTTTCCTCACACAAACCATTAGAATACTGGGCACTTTGATGAGCGTGTACAAGGATGAAAGATGAAACGGGGCGATCCAGAAAGACGTGCAGGAGATTAAGATGCCACTATCCATCACTGGAAATCCCAGTTCTTCCAGCCAAGGAGCTATGGGAGGGCAGGTCCCTCGCTCATCCTTGTACCAAAGAACTCTTGGCACCCTCACCGCTGGCTGTTGCTTCAAACCGTAAGCCTTCCCTCGGTCCTTCAACGGAGCGGCCATCATGCAGAAATCATTCAATGCTCATGTATTGGAGACTTGGAGAGGGGCACAGCAGTTCTTTGGTCTAGCGCTGTATTTTGTGCATTCTTTAGAGTTTGTTCTGTAGCTTGGGGCAACTCTTCTTCTGTTTCTGCTCTCGAGTCGGAGGCAACCACATTCTGTTCTTGTGGAGGAGGGCCTAGAAAAAAGTTCCCACAAATGGTCATCACAACTGGATTGATTGACAACAGCCCAATTCCCGGAAGCAAGGGGACCCCAAGAAATCAGGACTGAGAGAACCTCTAGTCCAAGGGTCTTCAAACTTGGCAAGTTTAAGACTTGTGGACTTCAACTCCCAGAATTCCTGAGCTAACATGACTGGAGGAGGAATTCTGGGAGTTGAAGCCCACAAGTCTTAAAGACCCCCCTGCTCTAGCTTTAATGCTCGTCAAACGACATAGGCACTAAATGAAGGTTGGCTGAGCATTTTATGTGATTCTTCTAAGCTTTGATTGTGAGCCACGGTTTGCGCAGTGGTTAGAGTGCAGTACTGCAGGCTACTTCTGCTACCTGCCGGCTGCCTGCAATTTGGCAGTTCGAATCTCACCAGGCTCAAGGTTGACTCAGCCTTCCATCCTTCCGAGGTGGGTAAACTGAGGACCCAGATTGCAAGAGGCTGTAAACTGCTTAGAGAAGGGCGGTAAAGCACTGTGAAGCGGAATATAAGTCTATTGCTATTAACGATCAAAGTAGTCCGGTCCTAAAACTTTGGAATGAACGTGGGAGACGTTTACAATTTAGAAGATGAGTTTATATCTAGGAAGAGTAAAGTTGGGGTGTTTCTCTCTCACCTAGAGAATCCGAGGGCGCAGACGGTCCAGTCTCCAAAAGCAACTTGGGCTTAGTCTTCCATTTCAGAATCGGGGAGCGTTGCAAACAAAGAGGGAATTTTGCATCTGTAAAGGAATGCAGGCCGTGTTAACCAGATCTAGAAAAGACACCTCGCAATCCAGAACAAAAGTGTGCCGTGTATAATTCAGGGTGTAGATCACACACTGATGTAGAAAACCATGTTTCAGCAGAGCTACTGGTGGCCAGACACCTCATTTTTACCTTCTGGGAAATGGGCTCCTGCTTTGAGTCTATAGCAGCAGCTGCAGATCAGGCCCTGCATCCTTTAGGACAGGGGTCTCCAACCTTGGCAACTTTAAGACTTGTGGTCTTCAACTCCCAGAGTTCCCCAGCCAGCAAAACTGCTTTAGGATACAGTTATATTACTTCGCTGAAGTAGAATGTTGCTGTTGTTTCTTCACAATTGACATAATTTTTGTACTTTTCTAGGTCTACATTTGAATGAGCATGCACTGCACAGTCTGTGTCTTTGTTTCCAGCTATTTATCATGGGCAAATGAGCTCCTTGGGTAGCATGATATACAAGTGAGCTGGATTTGCTTAAGGACTTTCCATGATTAACTGAACAGCTGCCATGGTTCACTTAACCACCTTGGCAAACCTTGTAAAAGGGGAGGCGTCCCAACCTTTGCTTAAGCTTTGCTTAGCAATGGAAATTCTGCTATCCACTCTGGTCATAAGTAAAAGATGACCACTATTTCAGGTTCCAATCGTTGTCTGCTCATCCCTTATCAACAGGTAATTGTATTTTCTCTTCCCTTCCCCTGTACGCATTAACTCTCTCCATCCCTCAGCCTAAAAGGCACCTGATTTTCACCTAAAGCGTAGGTGAAAATTAATGGTTGCGCCAATTTACATTCTGCGATACAATAACCCATAATAAGGATGGAAAATTGAAATGGGCCCATCGAAACCTTTTGTTTAATAGATACTGCACTATCGATCTGCACTCTGATTAAACATCATAAATTTCCCTATTGGCCTCACCTCCACTTTGCATGATTACAAGGAAGCATTTGTTGTAGTTTCAGGCAATATAGACATTTCTTCTTAAACATTAACAACATCTGAAATGACTCATAGAAACATTGACTTGGAAAGGAGATTTTATCTCAGATTTTTTGGGAGGAATCGGCATTTTTGTGGAAATATTTACAGACCCCTCACATCCTGGACATAAACTGTTTCAACTCCTTCCCTCAAAACGACGCTATGCACACCAGAACAACTAGACACAAGGGCAGTTTTTCCCCGAACGCCATCACTCGGCTAAACAAATAATTCCCTCAACACTGTCCAACTATTTACAAAGTGTGCACTACTATTACTGTTAATCTTCTCATCACTCCTTATCACCCATCTCCTCCCAGCTGTGACTGTATGACTGTAACCTTGTTGCTTGTATCCTTACGATTTATACTGACTGTTTCCTAGTATTATTTGATTGCTTATTGTATCCTATGACTATTATTAAGTGTTGTACCTGATGATTCTTGACTGT